TCGGAAGATTCGATTGTTTCTGGAGCACTAGGCCCAACGCTAGTAACTCATGGTGTTTCCGCAGGATGTTGAAAACACGCTTGACGGCAAGGACGTTTATCCGAATTAACCTAAAAAATGGAAAACTTACATCTTTTTGGCACGACAATTGGTGCCCGCTTGGTTTATTATTGGACTCGTTTGGCCCCTTAGGACCCCAAAGACTAGGTATCCCCCTCCAAGCGAAAGTGGTTGATCTTTATCGCGATGGAGCATGGAAATTACCATCAGTGCGCTCGGTGAGGCTCTCTTACTAGCTGTTTATTTGGCTGGAAAAACACTATCGAATCGCGAGGATACACGTGATTGGACAGTCGAGGGTAAAATAGCAGATTGTTTTTCGACCAAGGAGGTAAATAAAGCTATCTCTCCTAGCTCGGTTACTTATCCTTGGCACAGATTGGTTTGGTGTAAGTTCTACACACCTAAATTCCCATTTATAGCATGGTTATTTGCCCATGATCGTTGTCCAACTAAGGAAAGGTTGGCTTCATGGGGGCTACCGGTGGACTTGAAATGTTTGTTCTGTGGTAGTATTACAGAAAACAGATGTCACCTCTTCTTTGAGTGTCATGCTATTAAGGATTTCTTCACATGGGCTATGGCGAAATGGGGTAATCCGCCTACGCTCACCACTTGAACCGATATTTTGGACTCACTGCTAGGGCGATGGGGCTGCAAAATCAGACTATTGGGAGCGCAAGTAACTTGGCAAACAATTGTTTATACTGTATGGATGGAACGGAATTCACGGTTGCGTTCAGAGAATTACAAGGACATCTCAATCATCCGCCGAGATATTGATCGGTGTTCCCGAAACAAGATGGTGGCCATGAGACTATCAAACAATGGCAAGCTCTTTATTACAATTATGGTTCTCCACCCCCTGACAAACGTCCTTTCCAGAGGGATTGAGGTTTATATAGGTCTATTGCTTTGCTAAACATGTTTCTCCTTAGGATAGTTTTTCGTAAGCCTTTCTGGGTACTGACTACTTTTGTAAAGTGACTCACCTCTTGTAGCTTGCTCATATATATAATTATATACACCTTTTAACAATAAAAGATTCGATTGTTTCGTTTCGTCTAGATTAGGTGTTTTGTGACCTACAAAACGAGTTTGGCTATAAAGGGGCGGTGCTTGGTTCTATCGTTTGTTGTACCAGATAAGGATTTGTTGGAGTAGAGGCGGAGGTTGTTGTCTGATTTTCCTTGCAAAGTACTGCCATAAACCTGTGCTGCAAAAACAACTGAAGAATAGGTGCTGCTAACTTGAGAGCCCCATCTGCTAAGCCTGTCCTCGGTTGGTAGGTGACTGAGGAACGCCTAACATTGGACATAATAGCTAGTTGTGAGGTGGACTGCTTGAACCAGACAAGCGGATGCAGTTGCAACGCGGGTTCGGATTTGTTTCCATGTGTTGGAAGAGGAGAAGTGACTCTTGTTGAACTCATTAGAGTCGTGCTTCCACTTTGTGGCTGATAACACACATTTTGTTATAGGATGTTACATCAAATATCTAGTTTATTTTACTCATTTTGATACATTAATAGATATTTGTGATTCGGTTTCTGACTTGTGTGTTATTTTTATAGAAAAATTGAATTTCGATCTAAAAGTACAGAAAATTGGATCAAAGTAACCAAACGAACGATCGTCGCTTCAAGCTATCGATCAATCGTCCGGTTAAATGCATATAAATTGCTCAGAGGATGTAAACGATCATTTGTGTATGCACAAACGATTGATCGCTATTAATATTTATGAGAAGCAATGAACGATCGATCACAACATACATATGAACGATCGTCGTTTCAAGCTATCGATTGATCGACGGATCAAATTAGCGAAAACTTTCACTACAAAAAATCATCTAATAACGACGAAATTCTCGTCGCAAAATAAAATTACGACTAAACATGACGGTTTTACGACAGAATGTTTTGTCACAAACCGTCGTAAACTCCATCGCTAATAGCGACAGTTTGCGGCGAAATTATTCGTCGCAGCAACGAAAAGATAATTTTGCGATAAAATTTTTGAAAGTTGCGACGGATTACATATTTTATGAACCTAGAATCGAGGTTTATACAATAGAATTGGAAGGTCAGGTTTGTATCCTAATTGAAGTCTTTCTGACTGTTTTTTAATTTCAACTTACACATATAAGAAGAGATGGTTCAGAAGGTGTATTGTTGAAGAAAGACGTTGAAGACGATACCAAAGAGCCAAATCGCTGAGACTTTGTTATGAGACTTCATTACCAATGAGTTCTCACTCTTGAGAACTTGATTGAATGTTTTTCGAGTATGAGTGTGTATAAAAAGAAAGTAAAAAAGGGGAAGATTATTAATGTTTGGAAAGGGCATCAAGAGGAGATATTACATATATTAGAAAGAAAATTTAACATGTTGAAAAATGGAAAGAAGATCAAGTTAATCGAAAGAAGATCAAGAAAAAGAAAACATGACATTTTGAAAAAAAAAATGGAAAGGCCAAGCTAATCGAAAGAGTTTCAAGAAAAATGAAAAAAAAAAAATATATTGAGCAAAGAAATAGAAACAGATGTGGAACAGAGAAGAGAACTAATGCCATGAGGAATACACATACGGGAAATACGTGTGAACGATATATATAAGAATGAGCGAAAACCTTTAAAAAGTCTATTTCATTATCCGACACAATAATGGTCTTCATGATTGTTCTATTAAAAAATTCAATAAACAAACATTTATTAAAATTTAACACATAAATATGATTGAAAAATAATGCCAAGTCGATAAGAAAGGCAGTTGACATTATATATTCAACCTTTTCAAAATATTTTAGATTATTTTCTATGTTTCAAAATATTTGTAGTTTTATATTTTTCAAGACATTTTCTTATAAGCGATAATAATTAGGTCGAAAACTCAGAAAACAATCATGGTGATTAAAGATACAAGTTCGACGAGAGAGATAACTGTCGACCCCCCCCCCCCCCCGCCGGTCGGCCCACTGCCGATCGGTAAAAATTTCTCCGATTGCCGACCTCCGCGCCCCAAACCCTACTCTCTCTCCATCCCCCCTCTTCTGAAAACAGCTTGCGACCTAACCCAAGATCTTACGCCGCTGCGACCGGGCATCTGCCCAGCCGCCATGGCTCCGCGCCTCCGGTCCTCGTCGGCCCCCCCTCCCCGGGGCTCCCC